TGGGCGCCACGCCAGCGCCACCACCGCTTCCGGACGGCGCCGGGATTACTCCGCTTCTCGCTTTCACCCCTTGTACACTGCTGCGCGGATCTGCAGCTGAGGCCCGGGTGCCACCGGGCAAGCACTTTCCCCACCACCTCCAAACGTCCACCAGGCTTTCCCAGTCGCCTGCCCCAGGGCTTTGGCTCCTGGCCTCTGCGGGGCCAATTCAGGATTTCCGAGAGGCGCCTTCTCCCCATCCCTAGCCCAAGTGTTACTCCCTGTGCCACCCCCACCACACTCCTCTTCCAGCTCCTCTGAATGAGGAAGCTGGGTACTCCAGGCAGGGTTCGCCTGATTTTACGAGTCATCTCTCATCAGTGGGGAAAAATGGGGAGAAGGGGAAGACACAGGACTCTAAAATGTTTTCCGTAAAGAAATGATAAAGGTGTGACCCAGAAGGGGGCTGAACGTGCCCTGGTTCCACTAGGTAAACTGAGTCACTAACTACACTTGAATGCGTTTGTTACGAGAAACTAATTTTACTTCGTCTTTTTTTTTTCTAAGATAATTTTTGCTGAGTGGATGCTCAGTTGGATGAATGTATTATTTCTTTGTTCTCCCAAAGAGAGATCACAGAAGCTGTGTTCAGTTTTATTTTCACTGCACTTCCCAACTTAATAAATACATCCCTGCACTGTTTGTCTGTATGATTACACAGACTTTTTATTTCATCATCCGATGTTCATTTAAAGAAAGGGAGTTATAATATATGATGAACTGTTTCTTTTATTTCGTTGTCCTGTGCCCCGGTGGGGGTCGGGGATTGCACTTAGGGAGTATTGCTGGCAGCGGGTCACTTGAGTGACAAGGAAGATAAGAGTCTGGATGGGTAAGAAGAAGGGATTCTGTGCACGTAGAGGGCCTCCTGGCTCCAGGACTCCCATGGGGACCAGGGCTGTGTTCATCAGGCTGCCAGGCTCTGAGGCATGAGGAAGGACTTTTGCAAAGCTTGAAAAGTCATCCTTACTCTGTAGCCTACACCTGTACACGTTCGGGCGCACAAAACTTAGGGCCAAGGCTGCTGCTGCCTTCCAATGGTACTTTTACAGCTTTCACTGCACACTCCCGGTTGTCACCATTGCTATAATTGCCACTGCCCTCCCCTTCCCCTTCGCTGCTCAGAGACCTACGTTTTTTTATTTTTCTGGAGATAAAATTAGAAAGTATTTTCTTTGGCTAAAGTCTCTGAGGTTGGGTCTAAGAAAAGGCTGTACGTAGCCTCCCTCTCCAGCCACCTCTGTGACCCCAGCCTGTGCGTGTATGAGAGACTGACTCACGCCCGACGCCGCGCGCTTTACCTGCCAAATGCCGGGCTGATGAAGGCCGGGTGCCGGAACACGGCGGCTCCGAGGAAAGTGCTCAGGCCCAGCGGC